ACGAATTCTCAAGGTCAAACTCCCGGAACCTTCGAAAATTCATAAAAAAATAACTACCTGTATTTTCTAAAACTTTGCATTACTTTTTGCGAGGAATCCGAAGTCTACCTTTCGGTGGGGACATTTTCGAGCGGTGTGTTCTTTGAAAGTTATTCGAAAAATGAGCTTTTTCCGGAAAATTTTTTCCCGTTTTCCCGAATAAAAAAATAACTTACGGTCGGATTTTCACAAATGACAACTCGTAATGTGCGCATTCAATAGGGCTTTCATTTTCTTTATAGAGTTTCTAAATAAGTTAATATCGACCCGAGTTATTCCAAATAAAGTGTTTCCAAAGTGGGGACTTTGACAAAATTTCGCCTCCTTTTTACGGCATTTTGGATCGTCGATAATTAAAGAACGGAAAGGGCCACGCTCTAAACCTTTACAGATTCTGAAGGTCGTCGAGTAGATCACGAAAATATATTCGTTTGCCCCCCTCCCCTCAGGGGGGCCCGCAGTAAGGGGCCCATAGGTGTTCCCCGAGAATAAAAAAGAACGGCTCGACGGATTTTCGAAAAAGACTCTTCGGGTGCCGGAACAAAAAGATGCTTTTCTTTTTCTATAAAGAGTTTTCGAAATCGGTCCACGTCAGGGCAAAGTTATTCAAAAACACGAATTCTCAAGGTCAAACTCCGGAACCTTCAAAATTCGTAAAAAATAACTTACCTGTATTTTCTACAAAAACTTTTAAGAGTACTTTTGCGAGATCGAGATCTACCTTTTGGTGGGACATTTTGGAGAAAGGGATCGTTCTTTCAAAAGTTATTAGAGGAAAATGAGCTTTCGGGAAAAATTTTCCCGTTTTCCCGAATAAAAAAATAATAACTTACGGTCGGATTTTTACAAAAGTGACCACTCATGTGTGCGGAATCAAAAGGGGCTTTCATTTTTCTTCAAAAGCGTTTCCTAAAATAAGTTAATAAACACGAGTTATTCCAAATACAAAGTGTTTCCAAAGTAAGGGGACTTTGACAAAATTTCGCCTCTTTCGTACGCATTTTGGATCGTCCATAATTAAAAGAACGGAAGGGCCACGCTCTAAACACAGATTCTGAAAGGTCTCGTCGAGTAGATCCATTTGAAAATATATTCGTTCGGGCCCCTCCTCCAAGGGGTTCGCGGGGCCCAAAACTAGGTGTTTCCCGAATAAAAAAGAACAGCTCGACGGATTTTCGAAAAGAAGACTCTTCAGATTGCGGGAGCGACAGAGATCTTTCTTTTTCTTTAAAGTTACTAAATCCCGATCGGTCCATCGGAACGAAAAGTTATTCGAAAAAACACAATTCTCAAGGTCAAACTCCGGAACCTTCAAAAATTCGTAAAAATAAATTACCTATATTTTTTCTAAAAAAAGTTATGTACTTTTGCGAGAATCGAGAGATCTACCTTTTGGTGGGACATTTTTGGAGAAAGGATCGTTCTTTCAAAAAGTTATTAGAGGAAAATGAGAGCTTTTTCCAGGAAAGAAGTTTCAACTTTTTCCTTTATAAAAATAAATTGTCGACGGATTTTTTTACAGAGTGACGACTCATAACGTGCGCATTTAATAGAATAAGTGAATAAACTTACGAGAGTTATTCAAATAAAAGTGTTTCAGAGTTTGGACTTGCCGAAATTTAGAAAATTCATAAAAAAAAAAAATTACCTGTATTTTTCTGAAAAAGTCATGTCATTTTGCGAGGAATCGAGAGATCTACCTTTATTCGTTACACTTTCGAGAGAGAGGTTGTTCTTTAAAGAGTTATTAGAAAAAGAAGCTTTCAGGGTTATTTTTTAACTTTTCCTTTATAAAAAATAACTTCCCGACGGATTATTCAGTGACCACTCATAATGTGCGCATTCAATAGGGCTTTCTTTTTCTTCAAAAATTTACTAAATAAGTTAATAAACACAGGATTCCAAAAAGTGTTTCCAAGGTAGGACTGACAAAATTTCGCCTCCCCTGCGGTTCGGATATCTAAAAAAGTGGTGCGTAGCGACGTTGCCCAGTCGACACTCTGGAAACGAGACCACTGTTTTGGGTAGAGGACTACGAAAAAGAAATACCTCCGACTCATCTCGGTCGGAGGCATCGCTTTTCCATTTCGGGCTCAGGATCGAAGGGGGCGACAGCAGCGCCCTTCCTACGGATTCCTTCTTCGTCCATAACTCTCGGACGGAAGGCCATCCTCGAATCGTGGCATATTAAGAAAGGTCTCTTCAGGTACTTTAAGAATATATATATTTAAGCGACCGTTTCGAACGGGACGAGAAATCGAAAACCCTAAAGATTAAGATTTCGGCTTATAAAAGAGCCGCTCGGAAGATGATAACTAAAAAATACATCGAACATTGCGCCCCGAGACGAGCTTCGTTTTAAAAAAATTGTATTTTAAGTCGATTTACAAAAAGTTACGTTAGGATAAAGTTCCGTAAAAAGGTACACACACCTGACACCTGGCGGAGGCTACGAGTGAGATGGTGTCCGACTTCGAAACTCCACAGCGCCCCAACATGACCGATTCTCTCAGTAGATATCCCGCGTAGGTCTCGGCGTGCTCTTTCTTCAGTCCCCGTTCGCGATACTGTGTTTTCCAGGAGAAACGCAGAAACTCGAAAACAGCAATTCTATTCATAAAAATTGCGCTGAGGATTATTAAAACAAATATACTAAATGTGCGCCCCGAGATGGGCTTTTAAAATTATTTTAAGTCCATGGAGAAAAAGTTATAGTGTGATTAAGTTCTGTAAAAAGGCTACCCTGACAGCACCCAGCGGTGGCGGTTGCTTACGGCAGAAAACTTTAAAATACCACCCCTCGAAAACTTACCGAGCGATTTTCTCGAAACGGATATCCCCGCGTAGGTCTCGGAGTGCTCTTTTTTTCGAGTCCGATTCTGGGACGGGGTCCCGAAGGAGGTTACGTTAGAGACCCTTTCACGTAATCACTTTTAAAATCCTATAAATCCTCACTTTTAGAGATAAAATTCAATAAAATACCTCTTTCGAAGGTCTCTCTCGGTGCTTCGAGGAGCTTATCTCGATTCAGAACTTGTCTTTCAGGAGGAAAAAAAATCAAAAGAAAACTTTCGAAAGTAGCATTTCTATTCATAAAAAAAGAACCGCTCGACCGAATATTAATAAAAAATATACTAAACGTGCATCCTATGATGGGCCTTCTTTTAAAAAAAAAAAAAAAATTGTATTTTCGACTCCGTTGGGAAAAAAGTTATAGTGGCGAAAGTTCCGCCAAAAAAAAAAAAATAAAAAAGAACCACTTACGCCTGGCGGTGGGAAGCTCTCCTAAGGTTACTTTTTATATAGAATTCGATCAATCGAACATTAAAATCTTATAAATTTTTTAATTATACGTATAAAAAGAAGAAATCCTCTAAAAGAACTGAGACATAGCCATCCTGTGACGACTGGCTGTCTGTTAGGATCACTTACGTAAGCTAGAGGTGTGGGATTATCTAAATGAGGATGAGACATTTGGATTCTCGACACAACTTTATTAAGAATAGCAAACTCCCAATTGCTGCTTTTCTTAAAGTGAGAGTTGACACCCGATTAAACCCTTATATTCGAGTCAGATCGCGCAACTAGATCACTTATTTTAATTATAATAAATTAACTTACTGATCTAACTTCCTATACAAAATATTACCTTTTGCAGAGTCACCTTCCTTCATCGATTGAGTAGATATATATAAATTAATTTTAGATGAATAATTTATATTTAATACTAATTTATAATTTAATTTATATGAACGTATCACTGTCGAAGAGTTATAGGAAATCTAACTCTTGATAAGAATGATCCCACACTCCGTTATCTCTAAACTCGCCGCGCCTTCTCGTCAAAGCTTCTATCCTTTTAAAGTATATCTCATTTACATATTCGATCCGTTCGTCTTCTTGGTATTGGGTTGGAAAGGTTTGGCCATTAATCGTGGCCGTCAAAGAACTCGGGAGTTATGTTGGAAGAAGGACGCGAGAGACGTCACGAGACTTTCGACTTACACTTTAAAAAGAATTGTGTAGGGTCCATGCCACCGTGAGTCGGAGCTGAAAAAGAAAACGATACATCGGAACGACTGTTCGGACCACACTCGCGAATACAAGTACACCGGAACGAGACCGACTCCATAGGAAATTTCCCCACTCCTACAGAATCTATATCTCGGTACACCGGAACCAGAATTGAATGAGCAGTAGACCGGAATCGGAATCTAAAGAGCATAAGTTCTTCTAACCCGAACTATAAGTCAGTACACCGGAACGAGAAAAAAAAAAGGGGGCAGTGTACAGCCAATACTCGCCGACGAGTATTGGCTGTACTACTGCACATCCCGGACCGTCGGTCTGACGGTCATCTCATCCGTCAAAAGTACAACGGTCGCCTCCCGTCGCTTTCGTACCACGACCAGTTCCCCCTTGTCCAACGGCAGCCCCTCCACTCCCGACCGAATCTGAGGTCCGGTACACCCGGAACGAGAATCTATATAAAGACAAGTATACCGGAACGGTACACATTTCACAAGTCAAAGGCAGCCTACGAATCTATAAGTAAGAGTAAGTACACCGGAACGAGAAAATAAAAAAAAAAAAAAGGGGCAGTATACGGCCAATACTCGCCGACGGAAAGGCTGCCACTTCTTCACATCCCGGACCGTCGATCCTGACGGTCCACTCCTCATCCCGTCAAAGTACAACGGTCGCCTCCCGTCCAACTCGTACCCGACCGGTTCCCCTTGTCCAACGGCAGCCTCCACTCCCGACCGAATCTATGAGTCAGTACACCGGAACGAGAATCTATAAAGACAAGTATACCGGAACGACGCACATTTCACAAGTCCAAAGGCAGCCTACGAATCTATAAGTAAGTAAGTACACCGGAACGAGAAAATAAAAATCCGCTGCATTCCACCCCGACGCCGTCGGGAAGGACCGGCGGGGCCGGCCCGAGTCTCCGGACGAAGGATGAGTCTCAGTAGATCGCACTGTGGTGGGTGCTCTGCTACTTACGACACCCCGTCCAGATGGAACGTCGTCTGCAGACGACTCTGCGCCCACGTCACGCACACCCGCCGGAGGCAGGCTCTTCCGAGGACCCCCAGGTCATATGGGGGCCGCGCTCCGGAGCTAGAATGGGACGTGGACCCGGGGCTCCTCCCCTTTGTCTGTGGGGAAGGCACGGACTATCGAAAACCGTTCGAAGCGAGGCACTAATAGATTATCTCACCATCACCGGGCAGGCTTCCGGCTTAGAGGCGTTCAGCCGTTCTCCTACCAGATGGTAGCTTCGCGCCACCAGCCTTTCCCTCTCGGCGCAGTACAAATGTTAACCTACAGTTTCCTCTCGTACTGGGCAAGTTTGACCGTAGCGACGACCGTCTTCATGAGGTAAAAACTAACCTGTCTCACGACGGTCTATAAGCCCAACTCACGTTCCCTGTTAGTGGGTGAACAATCCAACACTTTGCGAATTCTGCTTCGCAATGATAGGAAGAGCCGACATCGAAGAATCAATAAAGCGACGTCGCTATGAACGCTTGGCCGCCACAAGCAGTTATCCCTCCGGTAACTTTTCCGGCCACCTCTCCCGTGAGACTCTCACATCTAAAAGAATTAGAAAGGATCGATGGGCCCCTGTTTCCCTTCGCTTGCTGAAGAACGAGAGCAGCCGGCTTTTGCCCTTTGCTCTAAGCCAGGTTTTCCGTCCCGGCGAGCCGGCAGCAGGACACCACCTGCGTTGCCATTTGACAGATGTTCCGCCCCAGACAAACTGCCTGCCTTTTTAAAATTTTTAATGGAATAAAAAAATTTTTTCCAAAAAAATCCGATTTAGGGAAAATTTAAAAAAAATTCAAAATTACCGTATTTTCTGAAAAAGTCATGTCATTTTGCGAGGAATCGAGAGATCTACCTTTTTCGGTTACACTTTCGAGAGAGAGGTTGTTCTTTAAAGAGTTATTAGAAAAAAAAGAGCTTTTCCGGGGACCCATTTTTAACTTTTTCCTTTATAAAAAAATAACTTCCCGACGGATTATTCCAAGTGACCACTCATAATGTGCGCATTCAATAGGGCTTTCTTTTTCTTCAAAAATTTACTAAATAAGTTAATAAACACAGAAGTTATTCCAAAAAAAGTGTTTCCAAAGTGGGGACTTTGACAAAATTTCGCCTCCCTGCGGTTCGGATATCTAAAAAAGTGGTGCGTAAGCGACGTTGCCCAGTCGACACTCTGGAAACGAGACCACTGTTTTGGGTAGGAGGGACACGAAAAAAATACCTCCGACTCATCTCGGTCCGGAGAGCATCGCTTTCCATTTCGGAGGCTCGGGATCGAAGGGGGGCGACAGCAGCGCCCTTCCTACGGATTCCTTCTTCGTCCCATAACTCTCGGACGGAGAGTATATTTACATATTAAGTGACATATTAAGAAAGGTCTCTTCGAGTACTTTAAGAATATATATATTTTGAAGCGACCGTTTCGAACGGGACGAGAGAAATCGAAGAAAACCTAAAGATTAAGATTTCGGCTTATAAAAAAAGAACCGCTCGGAGGAATATTAATAAAAAATACATCGAACGTGCGCCCCGAGACGGGCTTCGTTTTAAAAAAAAAATTGTATTTTTAAGTCGATTGACAAAAAAGTTACGGTAGGATAAAGTTCCGTAAAAAAGATACACACCTGACACCTGGCGGAGGAGAGCTACGAGTGAGATGTGTCCGACTTGGAAACTCCACAGCGCCCCAACTTACCGACCGATTCTCTCGAAGTAGATATCCCCGCGTAGGTCTCGGCGTGCTCTTTCTTCCGAGTCCCCGTTCGCGATACTGTGTTTTCCAGGAGAAACGCAAGAAAGAGAAAACTCGAAAACAACAATTCTATTCATAAAAAAAGAACCGCTTTGAGGATTATTAAAAACAAATATACTAAATGTGCGCCCCGAGATGGGCTTTTTTTTAAAAAAAAAAATTGTATTTTTAAGTCCATGGAGAAAAAAGTTATAGTGTGATTAAGTTCTGTAAAAAAAAGACTACCCTGACACCTAGCGGTGGCGAGTTCTTACGGCACAAAACTTTAAAATACCACACCTCGACAACTTACCGAGCGATTTTCTCGAAACGGATATCCCCGCGTAGGTCTCGGAGTGCTCTTTTTTTCGAGTCCCGATTCTGGGACGGGGTCCCGAAGGGGGCCACGTTAGGGCCCTTTCCACGTAATCACTTTTAAAATCTATAAATCACTCACTTTTAGAGATAAAATTCAATAAAATACCTCTTTCGAAAGGTCTCTCTCGGTGCTTCGAGAATATCTCGATTCCAGGAACTTGTCTTTCGGGAGGAAAAAAAAATCAAAGAAAACTCGAAAATTAGCATTTCTATTCATAAAAAAAAGAACCGCTCGACCGAATATTAATAAAAAATATACTAAACGTGCATCCTATGATGGGCCTTCTTTTAAAAAAAAAAAAAAAATTGTATTTTCGACTCCGTTGGGAAAAAAGTTATAGTGGCAGAAAGTTCCATAAAAAAAAAAAAATAAAAAAAAAGAACCCTTACGCCTGGCGGTGGGAAGCTCTCCTAGGTTACTTTTATATAGAATTCGATCAATCGAACATTAAATCTTATAAATTTTTTAATTATACGTATAAAAAGAAGAAATCTATAAAAGAGACTGAGACATAGCCATCCTGTGACGACTGTGTCTGTTAGGATCCGCGTAAGCTAGAGGTGTGGGATTATCTAAATGAGATGAGACATTTGGATTCTCGACACAACTTTTATTAAGAATAACTTAAACTCTAATTAACAACTTTCTTAAAGTGAGAGTTGACACCCGATTAAACCTTATATTCGAGTCAGATCGCGCAACTAGATCACTTATTTTAATTATAATAAATTAACTTACTGATCTAACTTCCTATACAAAATATTACCTTTTGCAGAGTCACCTTCCTTCATCGATTGAGTAGATATATATAAATTAATTTTAGATGAATAATTTATATTTAATACTAATTTATAATTTATATGAACGAACACTGTTGTCGAAATAGAGTTATAGAAATCTAACCTTGATGTCGATCCCACACACTATTCTTAAACCAAGTCGCGCCTCGTCAAAGCTTCTATCCTTAAAGTATATATCTCATTTACATATTCGATCCGTTCGTCTTCTTGGTGCTGCTGCGCTGTTTGGCCATTAATCGTGGCCGTCAGCCAACCGGGAGTTATGTTGGAAGAAAGGACGCAGGAAACGTCAACAGGTATATCCTTCGGACTTACATCAAAAGAATTGTGTAGGGTCCATGCCACCGTGTGAGTCGGAGCTGAAAAAGAAAACGATACATCGGAACGACTGTTCGGACCAATACCCCGCGAATACAAGGGCCACCGAACGAGACCGACCTCATAGGCCTCCTCCCCACCCTACAGAATCTATATCTCGGTACACCAACCAGAATTGAATGAGCAGTAGCATCGGAATCGGAATCTAAAGAGCATAAGTTCTTTCTAACCCGAACTATAAGTCAGTACACCGGAACGGTGTTAATACCGCCGACGAGTATTACGTACACTGCCCCCACACTTGCGCAGTAGTAATATCCCGGACCGTCGATCCTGACGGTCCACCTCAATCCCGTCAGCGCCAACGGTCGCCTCCCGTCCAACTTCCTTCGTACCCGACCCCTGTCCTGGCAGCCTCCACCCCGACCGAATCTGCGAGTCAGTACACACCGGAACGAGAATCTATAAAAGACAAGCAGTATACCGGAACGACGCACATTTCACACAAGTCCGGCAGCCTACGAATCTATATGGGGCAGGCAGTAAGTACCGGAACGAGAAAATGGCCAATACTCTCGGCGAGTATTGGCTGTACACTGCCCCCACACTTGCTGCACATCCCGGACCGATCCCGCCCATCCACCTCATCATCCCGTCAGTACAACGGTCGCCTCCTCGTCCAACCGAAATTTGTTCTTGTCCTGGCAGCCTCCACTCGACCGAATCTAAGTGAGTCACCGGAACGAGAATCTATAAAGCGACAAGTATACCGAACGACGCACATTTTACATACAAGTCCAAAGGCAGCCTGGGCATGAATCTATAAGTAAAGTGGGGTACACCGGAATGAGCAGTGCAAATAAAAACAACTGCTGCATTCCACCCCTCGGACTGGGGAAGGACCGGCGGGGCCGGGTTCGAGCCCCGGAGACGATGGATGAGTCTCAGTAGATCGCACTGTGGTGGCAGCGCGCTCTGCTACTTACGACACCCGTCCAGATGCCGGGTGGAACGTCAAGCGCCCACGTGGTGACACCCACTCTGCGCCCACACTGGTCGTCACACACACCCGCCCGGAGGCAGGTTTTCCCCGGTGACCCCCAGCCCTGCGGGGAGCCCGAGCTAGAATGGGTTCCGTCGGACCCGGGGCTCCTCCCCTTTGTCTGTAGGGGGAAGAACACCCCGGACCCTATCGAAAACCGTTCGAAGCGAGGGGCACTAATAGATTATCCTCACCATCACCGGGCAGGCTTCCGGCTTAGAGGCGTTCAGCCGTTCTCCTACCGGATGGTAGCTTCGCGCCACCGGCGGCACCACCGAGCGCAGTACCAAATGTCCCAACCTACGGTTCCTCTCGTACTGGGCAAGTTTGACCGTAGCGACGACCCGTCTTCATGAGGGTAAAACTAACCTGTCTCACGACGGTCTAAACCCAGCTCACGTTCCCTGTTAGTGGGTGAACAATCCAACGCTTTGCGAATTCTGCTTCGCAATGATAGGAAGAGCCGACATCGAAGAATCAATAAGCGACGTCGCTATGAACGCTTGGCCGCCACAAGCCAGTTATCCCTCCGGTAACTTTTCCGACACCTCTCCCGTGAGACTCTCACATCTAAAAGAATTAAGAAAGGATCGATGGGCCCCTGTTTCCAGGTCCCCTTCCTTGCTGAAGAACGAGAGCAAGCCGGCTTTTGCCCCTTTGCTCTAAGCCAGGTTTCCGTCCCGGCCGAGCCGGCCTTGGGACACCTGCGTTGCCATTTGACAGATGTTCCGCCCCAGACAAACTGCCTGCCTGACACTGTCTTCGGAGTTCCTCGCATCGCCCCCAATTGAGCGACGCTTCAAAGCACGATTGAAACAATTCTTTCACTTGGAAAAAATTCTAGAACATCACCGAATGAGTCCCAAGGCGATCAAAGTAGTGGTATTTCACATCTCACCCCGACCCTCGATGGGGAAAGGGTTCCCACCTAGACTACGCCAATAATGCCTTAGAACAAAGTCAGACTAGAGTCAAGCTCGAAAGGGTCTTCTTTCCCCGATGAATTCGCCAAGTCCGTTCCCTTGGCTGCGGTTTCGCTAGATAGTAGATAGGGACAGTGGGAATCTCGTTAATCCATTCATGCGCGTCACTAATTAGATGACGAGGCGTTTGGCTACCTTAAGAAAGTCATAGTTACTTCCGCCGTTTACCCGCGCTTCGGTGAATTTCTTCACTTTGACATTCAGAGCACTGGGCAGAAATCACATTGCGTCAACACCGCTCTCCGGCCGTCGCAATGCTTTGTTTTAATTAGACAGTCGGATTCCCCGGGTCCGTGCCAGTTCTTGTTCGTCTCATGCTCGTCCTCCGGCACTCCAAACCCCCATTGATTAGGGAGAAGGACCTTCCACCGTCCACCCCACCTCGAGTACGGAGTCCGATCTCGAAGACCAGTCCCCGTCACGATAGGAGCTTCAGAAATAATTATGGAAGTCCAGAGAGACCGAGACACAAGAGCCAATCCTTTTTCCGAGGTTAGGGATCGAACTTGCCGACTTCCCTTACCTACATTGTTCTAGAGACTAGAGGCTGTTCACCTTGGAGACCTGCTGCGGATATGGGTACGGACCGGCACGAAAATCACACCCTCTCCCTCGGTTTTTCAAGGGCCGGCGGAGGCGCACCGGACACGGCAGCAGCGACCGTGCTCTTTCGACGGCAGCGTCCCTTTCTCCTCGCGACGAGATTCGAGGGACACGCCGTCTTACGAAGAAAAGTCAACTTTTCCCCGGCCTCCAAGTGCCGAGCGGTTGGACCTAAAAGGGGGCCAGTCTCCTGCCGGGGAAAAATTTAATTTTCCTTTGGCTTCACCCTAACCCAATTTTAAGGGTTTTAAAATTCGCGGCGTGGACCTCCCCCCCTTTATTTCAACGCGTTCCGGGCCCTTCTCCGTGTTTCGTCTTCCGGCCTCAAATTTTGTTAAAAGACTCCCCGCCAATTCCCCCCAACCCGGATTTCAGCCCACCCGCCCCCCACTGGGGATAATAATCCCCTTTTAGGACCGGCCGGAAAATTTTCGAGTGGGCGCCCCCATTTTCAACCTTGTTTAGGATGAGTTGTTCACCCCTTTGGGGGGCCCCGGGCCACCGCCCGTTTACACCCCCCTTTTTTTTCGGCCCCCCGGCAGGGCGCCTTGCCCGGCTTTCTTCCCCCAGCGCCAGCTCTTAAAAAAAAGGCCCAACCTCTCCTCCCCCCGGTCCCGATCGGGGGCCGCACTCCCCCGAGTTTGAGGGGGTTCGGTGCCGGGGTAAAACCCTTCTTTTTTCCGGGCCCCAAAAAACAATTTTGGGGGAAATTTTCCGGGGAAACCAGCACCAGGGGTTCTGGTTTTTCCCTTTTCCCCCCGGGGGTTTCCGTCCACTCGACCTCCACCATTTCCCCTTTGGCCAAAAGTTCACCCCCAGGGGGCCTTTCCCCTTTCTGCCCTTCCCCTTGGAAAACCCCCGGGCCCGTCACATGCCAAAGGGGGACCCTTTTTTCCCCCACCCCGTGGGGAACACCCCCGGGGCCCCCGGGACCCCCCTTTTGTTTAAAAGGGGTCTGGGCCCCTACCTCCCCCGGGGCCCGGCCATCCCCCCGGAAAGGCCACCGCCACGGAACCGCCCCCCCCAGGAAGACGAACGCCCCCGGGGAAGCCCCCCCCGGAGGCGTTCCCCGGAAAGGGGCAACTTCCCCCCCCAAAAGGGGGAAAAATGGCCCCCGGGGGCCCCGGCCCCCCTTTGGGCCTCCCCCCCACCCCCTTTTGGAAAAATTTGCCGGGGAACCGCACCCCGGCCGAGGCTTCGGGCCCCATTTCCCCAACGTTTCAGCCTTTTGCTTCTTCGCCCAAACCCCCCCTTTTTTTGGGGGGCCCCTTTTTCCGGGGGGGGCCCCCCGGGGGCTGCACCCCAGAACCGGCTTCGGGCGTTTCCCATGGGGGCGGGGGGGGGCCCCGGGGCCCCCCCCGGAAAAAAGGGGCCCCGGGGGCCCCGCCCGGGGAGGCGCGCACCCCGCCGGTGGGGGCGCCGCCGGGGATTCCGGCGGGGGCCCCCTTTTTTTCCTCGGACGGGAACCCCATTTTTTTTTTTTCCCCCCCGGATGCTTTTTCGGGGGCCCCCTCGTCTGATGGGGTCTTTTTTTTCCCGTCCCCCCGGGGGAAACCCTGTTTTTCCCCCCCGGGCCCCCGGAGGGGCCCCTGGGAATCTCCCCCAAATTTTTAACCCCTCACGGGGGGGCTCCCCGGGGGGGGGCCCGCAATTGCTTAAATTCATGTCTGGGGCTGAAACACACCAAACCCCGGGGGGCCTTCATCGCCCCGGAGCCGGTATCCACCCCGGGCCCCCGGGGGACTTTCGTCCCCGCACGAAGGTTTTTTTTAGGTTTCTTGGGAGGCGGGGGGGGCGGCGCATTCTTCCCGCCCCTTTATGGAACTTCCCCCCTCCCCCCGGGGGTAAGGCCCCCCGTTTTCAATTAATTTTTTTTTTTTTGTTTTTTTTTGATCCCCCTTCACCACGGAAACCGCGACCCCCCCAAGGGCCTTTCCAAAATTCCCCGACCCTCGACCCCAAGAGGCCAGGGAAAAGGGGGGGCCCCCCCCCAAAGGGAAAGGGGGGTTAAAAAGGGGGGGCCCTTAGCGGCCGGGGCCCCCGCCAGGGGAAATTTTGTTGGGGGAAGACTTTTTATCCCCAAAAGGGGGGGGGGTTTCCGGGGCCCAAAAAGGGGCCTCCTTCCCCTTTTGGCCAGGGCCCCGCTTTGGGGCCCCCCCCTTATCTTTTTTTTTCCCCAAGCCGGGGTTTTAAAAATTCCCCCCATAACGGGGGATCGCCCAAGGGGTTCCCTTTTCGGTCAACCGACGGCACCCCAGAAAAGCGGCCTCCCCAACCTCCCTTTAAAAAAAAAAGGTATAAAGAATTCAAAAACCCGGGGGGGAGTTTTCCCTTTGATCGTTTAACCGGGCCCCCCTGGTAGTCCCCCCGTTTCCTTTAATTTCAGTTTTCACCTTACCCCCCCCGGGCCCTTTTTTACATCCCGGGCTAAAACCGTCCGGGGACTCCCCGGCTTTTTCAGAACTCCCAGGATCTTCTTCTTTACCCCGACCTTCGGTTTAAAAACTTTTTGGCTGTTTTTCGGGGGGTTTCCCCGGGTAAATTTCCCTCTCGGGCAAGTCCCTCTTTTTACCCCTCGCCCTCCCCCCCACCGCCCAAATGTTCCATCAAGTCAAATTGGGCCTGGGGACCCGCGAAGCACCTTTTTTTGGGATAACCCCCGACCACCGAGGGCCGCCCGGGAAAAACCCCAGTGGCGAGCAAAATCCCGGGGCATGGCGGGCCGGCGAGCGGCCCTACGTCCAGAAGGGAGACACCCAAAACATTTTTTTAATGCAATTTTTATACCCCCTGGGGCTAAAAAACCGCAGGGCTGGAAGTCTTGCCCTCCCGTAGGTCCTCGTTAAGGGTTTGAGCGTTATTCCGACGACTGGGTCTCGTAGAGTCCCGCGTCGTTATTTTTCACCACCTCCCCGGCCGGGGTTGAATTTGCGTGCCGCGCCTTTCCCTTTGATTTGGGAGCCGTTTCTCAGGCCCCCCCCGGAACGAACCCCATTCCCCCTCACCCGTGGCGACCCGGGAGGCCATCACCCCGTCGACAGGATGGCAGACACTTGAAGGATGCGTCGCCGGCGAGCCCCGATCGGCCGTTCTCCAAGCTTCGCTTTCCCCTCCCGGGCCCTCGCTGGCCTGGGAAGAATTAATAAAGGTTTTGTCTCGCCCCCCGGGGGCGGTCGGGGCTCGGCTGCATGTATTGCTCAAAAAGCCACAGTTATCCATAACGCGTCACGATCCAATGAACCGTGACTGATTTAAAACCATTTTCGGTTTCGCCTTATACTTTCGCGGCATTTCTGAGACGTGCATGGCAATCTTTGAGACAAGATAGCACGGCAGGATCAACCAGGTATCCATCCTCACTCTCCGGGCGCCCCCCGAAGGGGGGCCCCCCTCTTCCCCTTTCCCCGCTCCCCAACGGCCCCCAGCCCCGCCATCGAAAAGGGCCTTTTTGTCACCGTCTGCCGCTTCCGAAAAAAGCGGTGGCCCCCGCCGAAGAGGCTTTGGGGGAGAGAAAACCCTCCGGAAAAAGGGACCGCGTAAAACCGAAATGGGTGATATCCCGCCGAGCGGGAGGACCTCGGGAGTCGTCCGTCCAAGCCGGCGACGGACGACCGGACACCGACGTGCGGTGGCCCACGATGCAAGAGTACGCTCCACGGGACCCTCCGAGGAGGGCAGTGTCGCGTCGAGGGGTAAAGTGGGACGGGTGGGACCCGCCCAGCTCGGACCGACCCCACGCGGTCCATTTCGTCCGTCGATCCAATGCGACACGGGTGGGGCGAGGTAGCCGTCTCGGAAGACGACGGACCCCGAGGCGATCGCGGGCCGAGGGAAACCGCCAGTACAAGGAACGAGCGAAGCCCCCTACGATGTAGGGGGCAACGCTCCAAGGTCTCCCCTTTTAGGGGGAAAACGGCCAGACAAAAGGAGCACATCTTCCCCCTCCGCCACGGGACGGCGCCGGCGGACCCCGTCGACGAAACCTTTTTTGGAGCGAGGTGGCACCGAGTACACCCGGGAAAGAAACCCGGAACGAGACAGACGGGGGTGCCCACCCACCCCGGGGGGCGGTGCGCCGAAAAAAAAATACACCGGAACGAGATCCACCGGCAGGGGGCCCCCACGCGCAACCCGCTGGGCCCGGGAAAGAGCGGGACGCCGGAAACGGGGGCTCCGCAGGTTGCCGGGTTTTCCTCCGTTTTTAAACCCCTCCCCTTCTCACCGTCCCTGGACCACGGGGAAACCCCACCGTCGGAAAGATCGTTGATTCGCCACCACGCATATTTTTTTCCAAATAACCCATTTTTCCATTTTTCCCCATTTTTTTAAAAATAAAAATCGACCCCATTTTCGAACGACCGTTTCGAATCGTTCCGAAACCCCCCTTTCTAATACCGGAATCCGTAGGGGGGCCCCCGAACGGGCGGGCCTTTCTCATTTAAAAACGCCCTTAAAACAAAAAATCGGGCCGAAATTTTTTTCGATTTTTTAAAAAACCCCAAATTTCCGTTCAACTTTAATAACTTCGTCGTTTATCGAAAAATCCCGCCAAATTTTTTCCCAGTACCGCGCGTCCCTACACCGTACGAAATTTAAAAATTTGATCCGAATTTGAAAATTTTTAAAATTTTTTTTTTTTCGTTTTTCGCCACTGGTTCGCGAACCGGTCGGGGACTCCCAAAACAGGACAAACCGAAAGATTCGCCCCAGTGCTTTAAAAAAAATTTTTGTTTGGCCCTGTTTAGAAGGGGGGCCCCGGGGGTGGGGGGCCCCAAAAACATTTTTTGGGAAATTAAAAAAAATTTACCGTCGGATTTTTCCAAGTGACAACTCGTAATGTGCTCAATCGAGAGGGCTTTCTTTCCGATCAAAGAGTTTCTAAATAACTTAATAAACACAAGAGTTATTCCAAATAAAGTGTTTCCAAAGTGGGGACTTTGACAAAATTTCGCCTCCTTTTGACGGCATTTTGGATCGTTCGTAATTAAAGAACGCAAAGGGCCACCCCAAAACTTTTTTCAGATTCGGGGTCTCTCAAGGAACCCCCAAAATATATTTTTTCGGGCCCCTGTCTCGAAGGGGGACCCCGTGGACCGGAGGGTCCCTTTTATACGGGGCCCCGTGTTTACGGGAGTTTCCGCACGAACCTTATACCAGAGGTACGTCCCGTCGAGTGGAGACACCTGTGGGGTTTCGAAGCCCCCTTTGGGGGCCCAAAGGGGCCCCGGGGAAGCTTTTCTCCGATTTTGGGGGGCCCCGCCACGCTAGGGGCCACCCTCACAAAATCACATATTCGGGTAGGTCTGGTCAGTACTTTTGGTTATATTCGTTTGGGCCCCCCCAGGGGGGCCCCGCGGCCGAGGGGCCCAAAAAATGGTTTTTCCCGAATAAAAAAAAACGGCTCGACGGATTTTCAAAAAAGAGGACTCTTCGGGTGCGGAACGACGAGATCTTTTTTTTTATAGTTTTCGAAAATCGGACGGAACGAAAGTTATTCGAAAAAACTGTTTCGGAAGGCCCACCCGGAACGTTCGAAAATTCATAAAAAAAAAATTACCGGTCTATCTGTAAAAGTTTCGTACTTTGCGAGGGAAACGAGAGATCTACCTTTTGTGGGGCATTTTAGAAAGGGATCGTTCTTTTTAAAAATTATTAGAGGAAAATGGCTTTTCGGAAAAAAATTTTCCCGTTTTCCCGGATAAAAAAATAATTTACGGTCATTTTTTTAAAAAGACCACTCAAAAGTGCGCAATCGAAAGGGGTTTATTTTCTTCAAAAAAGTTTCAAAAACTTAATATAAAAGGGGTTATTCCCAAAAAAAGTGTTTCCAAATGGGGGCTTTAAATTTCCCGGGCCCCCTTTTTAGCATTTTGGATCGTCGATAAAAAAAAGGGGGGCCACGCTCTAAAACCCTTTACAGATTCCGGGGCTCGTCAGTAGATCACGAAAATATATTCTTTTCCCCCCCCTCAGGGGGCCCCCCCCCGGGGGGGCCCCCTTGGTGTTTCCCGAATAAAACGAACGGTCGACGGATTTTCCAAAAAAGGGCTCTCCGGGGGCGGAACAAAAAAAATCTTTTTTTTTCCTTTTAAAATTTTCGTCGATCGGTCCATTAGAACGAAAGTTATTAAAAACAGGAATTTCAGGGGCAAACTCCGGAACCTTTAAAAATTCTAAAAAAAAAAGTTTCCTATATTTTTCAAAAAGTCGCACTTTTAAATCAGAGATTCCTTTTTTTTGGATACTTTTTCCAAAAAAAAATGTTTTTTAAAGATTTTTCGAAAAAAAAGAGCTTTTCCGGGGAAAGAGTTTTAACTTTTTCCTTTATAAAAAAATAAATTCCCGACGGATTTTTCTAAGTGACGACTCATAACGTGCGCATTAAGTAGATCTTTCTTTCCTTTCAAAAATTTTCTAAATAAGTTAATACGAAAGGGAGTTATTCGGAAAAAAGTGCTTCGACGGCGGGGACTTCCGGAACCTTTGAAAATTCATAAAAAAATAAATTACCGGTCTATCTGTAAAAGCTTTATGTACTTTAGCGAGGAATCGAGAGATCTACCTTTATTTTGGATACTTTTCCAAAAAAATAGTGTTCTTTAAAGAGTTATTCGAAAAAAAAGAGCTTTTCCGGGGAAAGAGTTTTAACTTTTTCCTTTATAAAAAAATAAATTCCCGACGGATTTTTCTAAGTGACGACTCATAACGTGCGCATTTAATAGATCTTTCTTTCCTTTCAAAAATTTTCTAAATAAGTTAATACGAAAGGGAGTTATTCGGAAAAAAGTGCTTCGACGGCGGGGACTTCCGGAACCTTTGAAAATTCATAAAAAAAATAACCGGTCGATCGGTAAAAAAGTTATATACTTTTGTGAGGAATTCGGAGCTCTACCTTCGGGTGTTACACTTTGGAGAAAGAGCCTTTTCTTTGAGAAGCGATTCGAAGTGAAATGTGTTTTCGGGGTGGAAATTTCGTCCGATTTCTTAGAAACGATTTTTAAAAAAGAGAGCCGTTATTATCGAGGGGAGCACTTTGGTTTTCTTCGGAATCGTCCGATTTTCGTCCGTTTTCGTCGTGGGAATTTTTTTAAAGGGAGATACGGCGAGAAGGAGGGAAAAAAAAAAAATTCGGGTATTTTTTTCCAAGTCCGGAAACCTAAAAAAGCCTCCGGAATGCGAAATCGAAGTCGGAGACGACAGAGAGTGACGTCATTCGATACCTGTACACCGTCGCTTCATCTTCCGCTCCATCCGTACTGTTTGGCAACGACTACAAGTACGCCCCGTCCGACTGTTTCGAGATACAGGTAAAAGGGGAATCCCCTGATCGACAACTCACCTGGAAAAATCGTTGTTTTTCGAATAAATCGGGAACCGCGGGGGCCATCCGCGAAAACTTTACATTTTCGGAAAGGTCTCGTCGGGGGGATTCCGAAAACATAAAAATCTCCGTCCGGGACCCCGGGGGAGGCCCCCCGGGGGGCGAAAACCCAGTTTCGCAAAACCGCGCGTCCGCCGCGAACCGTCGAGACGATCCTCGAGAGAGACACGTATTCGGAAAGGTCTCGTCGAGTACGTCCCGAAAATATATATTTTCGGGCCCCCGTCTCGAAGGGGGACCGGGAACAGAAGCCCCTCCCCCCTTTAGCGAGCGACCCTCGTAACTCCGTCGTTTTTAAAGGTTTCCGCACGAAAACGATACTGGGTGCGCGGCCCGTCGCGTCGAGAAACCCACTCGGTTCGCTAAGGTCTCGGTCGAAAGGGGGCCCTGCGGCGGACCCTCGAACTTGTTTTTTTTTATTTTTCGGGGTCCCCCCACTCACTCGCTACGGAGGCCACCCTCACAAATAGCACATATTCGGAAAGGTCTCGTCGAGTACTTTCGGAATATATATTCGTTTGGGGCCCGTCTCCGAGGGGGGCCCCACGGCCCAGGGGGGCCCAAAAACTAGGTTTTTCCCGAATAAAAAAAGAACGGCTCGACGGATTTTCAAAAGAGAGGACTCTTCGGGTGCGGAACGACGAGATATTTCTTTTTCTTTATAGTTTTCGAAAATCGATGCAACGGAACGAAAGTTATTCGGAAAACATGTGTTTCGGAAGGCCGCACTTCCGGAACGTTCGAAAATTCATAAAAAAATAACTTACCTGTATTTTTCTAAAAAAGTCATGTACTTTTGCGAGGAATCGAGAGATCTACCTTTTGGTGGGACATTTTGGAGAAAGGGATCGTTCTTTCAAAAGTTATTAGAGGAAAATGAGCTTTTCCGGGAAAAAAATTTTCCCGTTTTCACGAATAAAAAAATAATTTACGGTCGGATTTTTATAAATGACAACTCGTAATGTGCG